ATTTCACTTGTTTCCAAAATATTGCAAAACTCGCTCATCATCTGATCTTGATGTTGCCCTGTCATGTAATATAATTTATTCTTTTATAAAATACAGATGGATTCTAAAAATCTCTAGGATATATAACTTTTCTTTTTTTTTCGTTTTACATTCACATAATTCATGTATACCTATAATTTGCTAGTTTTGGCTCCATGACCCCGGAGCTTGGTGTTGGAGGAAATAACTCACCCATTGTCCTTGTTTTCTTTGGGGCTTCACACTTCCAACTTTTGAAGATTCGTCGAAAGCAAATTGAAAGGGGGAGGTTAAAGCAAGAAAAATTCCAATGCCTGTATCTCTGGCTGATCCAGACCAGGGGGGGGGGGGGTGGCAACCCACGCCTTTTGATTTGCAAAAAATGGAGAGAAAGATGAGTTTGGTGAAAGACTAACGCTGTAATATATAAAGAAACCCAATCCCCTATACAAAATAGGATTTTCGGGTTAAGAGATTTATTTTATTTTCTATTTCAAAATTTTTTAGGTAATCCAAGTACAAGTATTGTTTTGATCAACGTCCAACTTTTAAAAACCATACTCAACGCTGTCTAATATTGAGTGTTATTAAGTACATGTAAAACTTACGTTATAATAACTCCTCTAATTCTTCACCCTCTCCCTCCTTTGAAGAATTTCTAGATCTGTAAATTATGTCTATGTATGCAAAAAAAGTGGGGATTTAGGCCTCCGGATTCCGACGTCTATGTTTACATTTTCTTTATGTTTAAAAATATATACCCATACAACAGAAGCGATGTTTTGTGGTGGCACTTATCCTGGCCATTAACAGTTACACAGTCACAAATATTATTCTCAACCTGTAATTATCCCCAAGTTAGATCTTAATATAACACGGAAATGTTGAAAATAATGTCATTTATGTATTTATATTATTCACGTCAAATATCAAACTATTTGGTACATACGTTAACACGATAGCTTCTATTCCTCCTGCTGGTTTGCACCGATCCCTGGACCTGACATGTCTCAGTTCACCATCGTACGCGAAATTTAAGTACATGGTCCGATTTTACAGCCGGTTCAGTCTTCTAGTGAAGCTTTTTAGTTCCTTCTACAAAATGTAAGCAACAGAATGGACACTGCCATTCTGTTTCAGTAAAAACAAGAAATCATTTCTGTCAGAAGTATTGCCGATGTATGGCGCGGATTAGTTCCATTCACGCCAAATCTTGCACTTTCCGCTTTCTCGCCCTACATGTTTAATTTTGTATTTTGCTGGTTTTTGTGCATGCTTTGATAACGCATCTGACGACAAATAAAAGTCTATATTACCATTGTCATTCAAAGAGAAGAAAATGTGTTATTACAATTATAGTTAAACACATGCTTAAAATAGACATATCAATCCATTTTTCAATTATTTTCTTTTTAATAAAGAACTATAAACCTGTTTTAAATGTATGGTTATAACGAACACTATTCAAGCTAAGTATTCCATAAAACATTACAAACTAGAAACTGAGCAAACATTAACCGCCAAAACATTAGAGGTGGGATCAGTTGCCATGGAGTGAGCATCCCCTGCCGACCAGTCACACCCGCCGTGAGCTTGTCATGATCGAGAGATAACAGGAAAACCCGTTGTCAATTCAGTGTGTAAATAATAAACTAACAATTTAGTATGAAAATTTTCAGCATTTAAATGAATAATATATTGTATTTGCTGACGTCATTGTATCGACCATATGTATAAGTTGTTTAACGTCACTCACGAGAATTTTTCAATTACATGGAGACGCCAGCACTTGCTGGTGGAGAGCTGCAAATTTTGTCGTAACCTCGGCATTCTGGGCCATTGACCAGGGAGTTCCTTTTTCGTGCCAGCACCTACTGCGACAATGGACCTCGGTTTATACGTCTCATCCGAAGGACTGGTCTGCACGTCCCGCATTGGGACTCAGACGTAAGGATCAACTCCGTACTTTGCAACTGTAGAGCAGACACGGATTGTTAGTTATATCAAGTTCACCGGTATATATCGTATCGACATAAGAACGGTAATAACCATCGTTAATTGACAATACGTCGTCGATGTATATAACTGTCGAGTTGAAGGCCACAGCAAGTATTTTCTTTTCGAGTCGCCCGTGTGGAGCAGTGGTCTTAGCATCTGCTCTAGATTCGCACTGCAGAGTCGATCCTTACGTCGCTGGTTCAATTCCCACTGGGACGTGGAGACCAGTCCTTCGGAAAAAACCGTATGACCCGAGGTCCCACTGGCACGAAAAAAATCTCTCACTGCTCAATAACCCTTAATAACGAGATTAGGACAAACTTTGTAGCCCCCCCTTTTTGAACAAGATTTTTTAACAAAATTTGCATCCTATGAATATAAAATCAGGTGTGCTAACATTTATGTCAATTTCAGATAATAAGCGTGTACAACCAGAAAGTTTTTCAAACAAAAAAAAAAATTTTGATAAAAGGTAAGTAAATTACGAGTTCCATTTTTAGCTGTCAGTGATAATTAATACTTTATAATTTATCGTGGATTAGTGTATAAAATTGAAAGTTTGAGTTAAGTTCATCAGCGCCCAGAGCGATAGATTGAGAGCGCATATTGTTTTTGTCCTGTCTCTTTTATCTGCAAACTTAACCTTCGCCACATCTTTTGAACCATGAGACAAAGAGACTTCATATTTGGTATGCACACTCCACTAATTAAGCTCTTTTACATGACACCAAGATCAATGTGTTTTCGCCGGGCGTATAGTGTTTCACAAACACATCTTAAGGTTTCGTCAAAGGTCAACATATCTAAAAAATTATTTTTACAATTGCTCCAAAACTATGTGTGGTATGAAGTCAAAACGTTTACATTTTGTAAATATATCACTAATTAATAGATAGGAAGTATTACTTGATAACAAATATTTTTTAAAAAAATATTTTTTGAGAAAAATTGTATCAGAAAATGTGCATATTTTAAAAAAATGCACCTGCTTAATTCTGTCCTTTTTGTGAAAACCAACATTGTAGAAATAATATATGTTTATCATTGAAGAATGGTAGCATTTTGAAAGTAAAAGTAATCTTTCTACTTGTGTGCCAAGGCAAGTTGGACGTGAAAAATGGTCTCTGAAAGGCTGTTATTGAAAGCATGACATGTGTAAAGACAAGACCCCTATAGAATCCGCCATTTGCAGTGTACTTTCACTTTCAAGTCTTAACATTTGGACAAAATAAACAGGGAAAACAACTTTCCAGAGGCTATCCAAGTCCAACTTGCCCTTCATTGATAAACATATTTTGTTTCTGCAATGATGGTTTTCACTAAAAGCATGGAATTAATTAGGTGTATTTTTTGGAAAATATATGCATTTTTAAGTAGAATTTTTCACAATAAATATTATTCCAAGCATTTTTTTTATCAAGTGATACTTTCTATCTGTTAATCAATAAATAATTTATAAACTGTAAAAGTTTTAACTTTATACCTTACATAGTTTTGGGGCTATTGTAAAAATAAATCTTTGGACATGTTGACCTTTGACGAAACCTTAAGGTGTTGATTTTGATAAAAATCTTTAAATTGTCTAGAAGTTCCTTGGAATTTTTTAAGTATTTACATCTTCTTGAATATATTTGTCGCACAATACTCTTTTCTCAACCGTGGTTTCTTCAATTTCAACTGCACCTTCTCTAAATTTCTTAAGGGTTTTTACTGAAATTTCTTTACGAAACTCAAGTTTGTGTGCAAATGTCTATCATAGATTTCTTACTCTCAGTCAGTTGTTTAGCATCATTTGATGGTCGTTTCCCTGGAAGTATGGAAGATGTTTTCTTGCGGGAAACCCTCCCAAATATAATACCAGGTGGCACTGCTACTTCCAGAGCATTTACAGGAGCTGCCTGTGAAGCTAAGGCAGATGTAAGAGGTGACCGAGTCATCACCTCAACCTGTGATGGCTGATCCTGAGACAGAGCTTGTTCAGCTAGAGGAAGTGTCTACTGTGATGGAAATATCAGGAATTTTTCTTCATATACATATATTGAATATGACTTGGACCGACGATCGACTTTGACAAAAACGGGGTATATGTGCATTTGAGATATCCCTTATTTGAGATACTGATATTGACTTGCAAATATATTTATCATATCTATTCCTGTATTGAAAATGGTCTTTTTTCTATTGATATGCTAAGGTCCCGCCTTTACAGGAGCTGCCTGTGGAGAAGCTAAGGCAGGCTGAAGAGGTGACCGAGTCATCTCCTCCACCTGTGATGGCTGATCCTGAGACAGAGCTTGTTCAGTGTGTCCACCGTGATTACCGTGGAGATATCAGGAATTTTCTTCTTATATATATAAAGAATATGCCTTGGACCGGCGATCGACTTTGACAAAAACGGAGTATTTGAGATATCTCTTATTTGAGATACTGATATCTACTTGTATATATATATAAATTTATCCCTTTTTTCCTATTTTAAATTTGGTCTTTTTTTCTTTTTAAGTGCAAAGGTCCAGGGTGAAGCTGATGGTGAAGGTTGAAGATGCTCCTGAAGTTCCTGAAAAAAGGTGGCGCTGCAACTTCCGGAACCTTTACAGGAGCTGCCTGTGGAGAGGTAAAGGCTGGCTGAAGAGGTGATTGAGTCATATCCTCAACCTGTGATGGCTGATCCAGAGAAAAGCTTTTTCAGCTCGAGGAAGTGTGTCTGCCATGATTATCAGGAGTTTTCTTATTATAAATTTAAAGAATATGACTGGGACCGGCGATCGGTCGACTTCGACAAAAACGGGGTATTTGAGATACTGATATTAGCTTGTTTGCATATTTATCATTTCTATTTCTGAATTAAATGTGCCCTTTTTCAGGTCCTAAGGCCCAGGGTGAAGCTGATGATGAAGGTAGAAGATCCTCCTTATCTGCCTCAAAGGTGGCATTGCCACTTCTAGAGCCTTGAAAGGGTGTCCGAATCATGGCCTCAAGCTGTGATGGCTGATCCTGACACAGAGCTTGTTCAGCTCGAAGAAGTGTGTGTACCGTGTTCGAGATATCAGGAGTTTTCTTATATATAAAGAATATGACTGGGACCGGCGATCGACTTCGACAAAAACGGGGATTTGAAACATTCCTTATTGGAGGAACTGATATTTTCTTGTGTATATATTTAATATTCCTGTTTTTAATGTGTTTTTTTTTCATCTTATATACTAAGGTCCAGGTTGAAGCTGATTGTGAAGGTTGAAGATGCTCCTCAACTGCCTAAAAAGGTGGCACTGCCACTTTCAGAGCACTTACAGGAGTTGCTTGTGGAGAAGCTGAGACAGGGTGAAAAGGTGATCGAGTCATCTCTTCAACCTGTGATGGCTGATCCCGAGACAGAGCTTGTTCAGCTAGAGGAAGTGTGTCTGCCCTCTCCTGAGCCTGTCGCAGCCTTTCATTGGCCGATGCTTCAGCCTATGGAGGAGATGGTGTCACCACCTCAGCTGCCTCATGTTTGGTTAAGGAAGAGGCTGCTGCACGGACTGAGTAGATGGAACTGCCGTCTCCTCAGGTTGATGTGGGTCGTCCTCGGCTTTCTAACCTCGGGTCACCGATGATATAGACCCTTCTAGTGCAGCCATCACCTGTGAAGGAACCTGAGAGGCGAGGATTTACAGCAGCAGGGTTGTGCGACATTTGTTAATACTGTGCAGGTCTCTTTAGTTAGTGGCTTTCTTGTTCTATCGTTATTTCTGAATTGTTTTTTTTAAATTAATTATTTATTTATTGCAAAATGATGTAAGCTTTAAGAGCATACAAGCATACATGTACTTAGATCTCATGCCCATCTATCTTCTAAATAAAATAATGCAGACTTTTATACGTTCAAACGTACGTTTGACCACGCGCCAGTTTGTAGTTTTTAGTGAAGTTACACAAGTAGTTAAAATTACCCATACAAATCAGACTCCGCCTGAACTGTGCTGTCCAATCTTTACGAAATACTTCGACCATGAAGTGTGTTTCAAATATTGAAAGAAAAATATACAAGGTGAATACAGTTAGTCTGTTATACGATTGATTGATTTAATATTGTTTAACGTCCCTCTCGAGAATTGTTAACTCGTATGGAGACACCAACACTTCTCGACGGAGAGCTGCAAATTTTGTCCTATACTTGGCACTCAGGGCCATTATGCAGTGAGGGATTTTTTTCGTGCCAGCACCCCATCCGAAGGACCGATCTCCAAGTTCAAAAGTGGTGGGATTCAAACAACGACGTATCGATTCTATCTTCACGACCGTAATATAAACTTAAGAAAAATATACCAAGCCAGGTGAATTTTATTAGGAATAGCTAAATGGTAAAAATCAGCCTATGTGATATTGCTGATTTTTTTTTAATTTTGATCATCCTCTTAAAATTCACCTGGCTTGGTATATTTTTCTAAAGTTTATATTACACTTTTAGCGCCAAGATAACATATTCTGAAATTTGTTTTCACCTGTAAACTTTTACTGAATGTGATTTGTCTATATTTGTTTTTTTATTAAAATATCAATATTTTCTATTTCATTTTCCAGTTCTTCGGAGAATAAATTCCAAGAACCATCCACTTTTATAAACTAGTGACATGATATTAAATCTTTTTCATAAAAAATATTTGTTTGTATTATCTGTCCTTAACACCAAGCGCAGAATGACGATACTTGTGAAGGGGTTTTGCTTTCGAGCAATTTACACTGAATATAACTACTTTCTTGAATACCAGAAAATTGTTAATAAGAGCAGTTCAAATATAACAATGCACAGGGATGCAACAACAAAGAAAGGAAAACATTTTTATGGGGTACACATTAATATTGGTGACAAAAAGTCTTGTCTCCAGGTTAAGATATCCCTTATATGAGATACTGATATTTACTTGTATAAATAATTGTCATTTCTATTCCTGTTTTTTATGTGGTCTTTTTTTCGTTTTAGGTGCTTAAGTCCAGGATGATGGTGGAGGTTGATGATGCTCCTCAACTGCCTGAAAAGGTGGTCTTGCCACTTTTAAAGCTTTTACAGGAGTTGCCTGTGAAAAAACTTAGGCAAGTTGGAGAGGTGACCGAGTCATCTCCTCAACCTGTGATTGCTGATCTTGAGACAGAGGTTGTTCACCTCGAAGAAGTGTGTTTGCAGTGATGGAGATAACAGGAGGTGTTTTTTATTATATATATAAAGAATATGACTGGGACCGGCGACCGACTTCGTCAAAAACGGGGTATTTGAGATATCCCTTATTTGAGATACCTGTATTGAATTCCATATATATTTATCATTTCTATTCCTGTTTTTGATGTGGTCTTTTTCTTTTTAGGTGCCATGGTCCAGGGTGAAGCAGATGGTGAAAATTGAAGATGCTCCTTAACGGCCTGAATAGTTGGCACTGTCACTTCCAGAGATTTTACAGGAGCTGCCTGTGGAGAGGCTAAGGCAGGCTGAAGAGGTGATCGAGTCATCTTCGTACCCTAGAGGTGATGCCTGATCCTGAGACAGCTCGTTCAGCTAGAGGAAGAGTGTCTGCCCTCTCCTGAGCCTGTCGCAGCCTTTCATTGGCCGGAGCTTGAGCCTATCGAGGAGGTGGCGCTGCTATCACCTCAGCATTTGCAGAGTCTGGTTAAGGAGGAGGCTGCACAGATTGAGTAAGTGGAACTGCCATTTCCCCAGGTTGATTTGGGTCGTCCTCGGCTTCCTAGCCTCGGTTCACCAATGACAAAGATCTCTCCTGTGCAGGATCTTTGGTGACACAAAGTCTTGATTGATTAAGAGATATGTGATGAAAAGGGTGAAACAAAGTAGATGTTACAAAACAGTTTTATTAGATATTTCTCAGAAAGAGGGTGATATTGATACTGTTTTATGGACTTTGATATTGAATACTGTTCGTTATATCCATATCCTCATTGAAAATACTGATTGGGAAATCTCGTTTCTAATTCACAAAATGTTAACCAGACTAGGCTATGGAAAATTTTTCCTCAAACTTTATGAACATAGTTAGACAATGCGTACCTGAAAGGTTTGTTATAATTATAAGGCCAAAAGACAAGCCCTGGTTTGATTCTGCATTACGTAAGACTCATCGTCAAACAGAAATACTCAGACAAAGAGCTCAGAAAAAAAGCTCCAAAAAGACTGCGATTTCAAAAATTGAAACATATAAGAAATGAATTCAACAACATGAAAAAACATGCAATTGAAAACTACCACAATAATATAGAATTACATCATACAGATACTAGTAAAAATAACTCGAAACTTTACTGGAAATTATTGAAAGATGTTTTTAAAACCAAAGTTACCTCTGATATTCCACCATTACAATATACAATAGATACTGGTGATGCAAACATTGCTTATTCCAATGAAGAGAAAATATATGTACTTAATAACTATTTTACTTCTGTATCATGTAAGAGAGGTGATATTGTGTCAGAATTACCGGATACATATTATATTTGTAATAATGAAATAAGTAATGTATAAGTGAACAAGAAGTAATTTATATTATATCAATACTTCCTACAAACAAGCCATTGGTCCTGACAACACAATTTGTAGAATTATTAAATGTATATGAAGGAAATAAAATACATGTATGTCAATATGCATATAAAGATTTGATTGCTTATTCTTTATTATGTGTATAGAAGATTTTTTTATATGGAATATTTATCACACTGTAATGATGATTTTATAACCTCATAAATTTTTCATTTTACATGCTGAATACTATCATTTAGTAAAAAAGAAAGTATTTAAAAAAAAAAAAAAGAAAGGTTTCCCTCAGAATTTGAAACGAGAGCCATAACCACTTCCACGGAGTCTTTTTACATGAAGCGAAGTAAGGAACTGAACGCATACATATATATATTCTGTAATCTCAAAAAACTATAGCCTTTATTAACCAATTTAGTTGCTGAGCTGTGTAGGGAAAATCATGGAACGAGTGGTTTTTAAGTACATTTAAAATTATTTTCATGACAATAATCTCTTTTACAAATACCAGGCTGTTTTCCTATATCAGTTAATTGAAACATATAATAATACTGTTAAATCTATAGATGATGGAAAATTTTGTTGTATGGTATTTTGTGACCTATCAAAAGCATTTGGTGTGTCTGGCATAAAGGTCTCTTAGCTTGTTTAAACTTAAAACATATGGGATCAATGGAAAATTATATAAATATGATATATAAAGCTATTTAGAATGTACGTATCAAAGGAATTTGTACCGTAATTTGCTATGGTCAGCTAAACCTCTGTATGCTGGTATTCCCCAAGGCTCAGTTTTAGGGCCACTTTTGCTTTTAATTTATGTGAAAGATGTTGCTGACAATATGATTACTTTATGTAAACTATTTGCAGATGATAATTCTTTGCAGCATTCATCTGAAAATATGAACATTATTGAAAGAAACCTTAACAGAGATCTTAATTATAATGAACTAGAACTTTGGTCAAAGAAATGGTTAATGAAATTCAACCCCTCTAAAACTAAAGCAATAATTTTCAGCACAAAGAAAAGAACTGAAATTCCAAACCTTCTTCAACAAATTCTACCCAAAAGTGCGCAAAAAATATTGCACCGTAAATTGCACCTTTTTTGCATTACGGGATCTGTAGCGTTATAGTGACAGACAAATAAATTAAACCATTAACGCTACAGATCTGCAGCTACCTATAACTCATGTGGCAAAAAAGAAGATGCGTACCCATTATTTTTTGTATGCCCAAAGTATAAACAAGCCAGAAAGGAATTTTTGATAAATTTTTACTATTTGATAAAATTCATATTTCAGATATAGATGTATTATTATGGGGGTGGATTCATTGAGTGCTGTGGAGAACGTACGTATTTCCTCTCTTGTTCAAACATTTATAAAACATTCTGGCAGATTCACATGTTAGTATTTCTGTTATTATATTTTATGCATGTATATACAAAATTACATGTGTGATTCTTAAAAATGCATTGATTTGTAAATTTTGCAAACATTTAATACTTTGAATGTACAAATTCAACTGTGACCTAATTGAATTTTTGTAATTTATATGTAGAGGGCGTCATCAGTTTTTAGCTCACCTGAGCCGAAGGCTTGAGTGGGCTTTTCTGATCACATTTTGTCCGTCGTCTGCCCGTCTGTAAACTTTTCTAAAGAACATGGGATCTAGACAATCAAAAGCTATGCAAGAAGCGAAAGACCTTTTGAGATCTTCATTCTACTAGTTCATTTTGATTCCACAAAGAAGCTTGTCAGATTGGGAGTGGTGTTGTCACACCACAGATTAAATTTTGATCAGAAAAAAATATTGGTACAAAGCATCTTTTGTCATTTGAAGACCATAAACCATGGGACTATTTAAACCTGAGAGCCATTATTAATTTGAGATGGGCGGGACAAGTCCGAAATCACAAGGGATATAATCAAGAATAGACATAAATAGGTGAGGATATATTTCATTCATTAAAAATCTTCTTCCGTCAAGAACCACTGGTGATTCCAAAGGAAGGGAAAAGTTATGTGGACAGCATACCTGGGATAATGGACTTTCATAGTAATTGAAATCATGACCCGCCAGGGGTAGGGTGGGGCCACAGTGGGGAACCAAATTTTAACATAGAAATATATAGTGGAAAAATCGTTTTCTGGAAAGAACCACTGGCAATTTTTACATCAGAGAAAGCTAAAACTTACGAATGGTTTGGGAAGCATCGAATTTTTAAGGAAGGGATGAAGGTAGTGTAGATGATTTAAATTGTACACACCAGACCACAAATCATGAGCTTATGAATCGGAAATTGCGGACAAATGAATTCGGCGAGTGGGAAGTCGACAGAAGAAATTCAAAGAGTATGCCACAATTTTAACAAAAAGTTTTACATAGAAATATATATAGACGGGACCAGTCTCGTACAAAGTTGCTTTTCCAGACGGCGTTGAAAATTTTGAAAATCTTCTGATGAAGAACCACTGGGCCAGAAAAGAGGAATTGTTCATTATCTGTGTTCTGTTCAACCACTCAGTTTTAAAATCAATGAATTTTAATACTGAATAAAAGTTGTGTTTTAAGATCTCCAGGGTATATCAAATAATTAAAAGAGCCGCTTACTTTCCGTCTTTTTAAATCTGTTTCAAAGGTTTTCACAAAGTTGGTGCAGGTGATCCCAGTGTTTTACAAGTTAATATGAAATCATGATATTCCAGCCATTGCTATTACCAGTTTTAAAGAGAAAAGTTTCAATGTCATGTTTACAATGATGCAGTTACTTTCTGTGCGCAAACTTATATTACAGTGTTATGAATTCTTGGAAACTTGTTATACTTTTAACCAGAACTTCTTGAAATTCTTTCAAAATGCTACTCCTCCTACAGTTTTGGTCTGATTTCAGTATAACTTGACACACAAGTAGACTACACTAAGATACATAATTCTGTGTATCGGTTTTTGATTTTGATGGGCGGTGTTGCCATGGTTACTAAAAATAGAAATTTCTGTGAAATTCTTTCAAAATGCTACTCCTCCTACAGTTTTGGTCTGATTTCAATGTAACTTGGTACACAAGTAGACTACACTAAGATACATAATTCTATGTATCGGTTTTTGATTATTCGATAAAGCGGTGTTGCCGTGGTTACTAAAAATAGAAATTTCTGTGAAATTCTTTCAAAATGCTACTCCTCCTACAGTTTTGGTCTGATTTCAATATAACTTTGCACACAAGTAGACTACACTAAGATACATAATTCTATGTATCGGTTTTTGATTTCGATGAGCGGTGTTGCCGTGGTTACTAAAAATAGAAATTTCTGTGAAATTCTTTCAAAATGCTACTCCTCCTACAGTTTTGGTCTGATTTCAATATAACTTTGCACACAAGTAGACTACACTAAGATACATAATTCTGTGCATCGGTTTTTGACTTCAATGAACGGTGTTGCCGTGGTTACTAAAAATAGAAATTTCAGTTAAATACTCTTAAAAATGCTACTCCAAATACAGTTTTAGTCTGATTATAATATAATGTAATATAACTTATTGCTGTTTTAAAGTTTCAATTCCCATCTGCTTATAAGTACTTTTCTCTTCCTTTGCTACAAGTACACACCAGTAGAGCTTCAGTCTCGACAGAGACTTCTGGTTTTTTATCACCTGTATTACAGAATATGACAAAAGTAGTTCCTTTAGTGGCAACTTTACCAAAATAGTTCTCTTCTAAAAATCTCTCAGTATCACTGTCTCTAAAAGACACCAAGTCCGCATTATCGGACACCCTTTCTGAAAACACGGCAAAGAAATGTTAGTCGACAATCCCATACTGAAACACATCAATCAAATACCAAAAATGTAAAATAAATATAGCTGTTTTACAGCTCAAACCCCCAAAACAACTTGAACGTTTTAAGTTTACAAGATCGATAAATATCAATCAAAAATAAACGAACACGTACCACACCTTTGTTACAGGTGACTACGTGTCGCTCGCTCAAAGAAAAGAATGGCTTGGCACGTGGAGTTGTGCCTTATATACAACAGGTACTCAGGTAATAATATACGTCATACAGGTATTTTTAACTTAATAACAAATGAGGTTCGCTTAGCTGGCTCGAAGGAAAATCTGCTATATGATACCCTTTGCAGAGCTGAAAGGCGATATGTAACCTCTATTGGTAGAACTAGATTTAACGAGGCTCGGGGGTCGCTGCCATTTTAGACTGTTTTTATCTCTACACAAAAAAGATTTTCACTCTAATGTCACGTAACTCTTTCAGGAGTTATCGTTCATAAAACGCGCTCTTCATTCAAGTAAGGTAATAATAGACCATAACAACAACAATGGTGAAGGTAAACATTCAGAAACGTAGAGACAAGAACGGGCGATTTATTAGTGAAAAACAGGGAAAAGATTTTTCTATAGATATAAATAACAACAACAGCAACGATGTTTCTTCACATATGCCGTTTGAAGTGCATGCACTACACGATCATGCATATTTCTCCAAAAAGAAAACACCTCTCCAAGTAGTGAGCTTTTCATCAGCACCAGTGTTCGAAATCCCGCCAAATGACAATTCCACAGTTTCATTCGGGTAATTTATTTCATTATTTTTAAAATTTAATCTATCTTATAAACATGTAAAAGATAGGAAAATAATTATTTTATAAAACTCAATAAGAAAATTTGCAACAGGAACTATATATAAATGGGGCAAAGGGGCCATAGATTAATCTAAGAATTTTCATTATTTCATGTTTTCATAGAGAGAAGAATCTCACTCATCCCAAGAGCCATGGGCGGATTACAACACTGGAAACAAATGATGGTTATATGGATCTGGAAGATGCACAATATTTTCAGGGTATTTTTTTTTTTTAATATTATCATGTTGTTTATATTTGAACTATGAGTTATATCCTTATGTGGTAAAATTTTACCAAAGGCAAAAGAACATGTTACATGTATATGGAGTTCAGGTAATGAGTGACTTTTTCATAATATATTATAATCATAAAATATATCATAATGAGATATTGCTTTGTAATTAAAATCAAATCAATACACATTGTAATAAAATGCATTTTAATACAGAAAATCCCAGAAAGTTAAATTGGAAGGAAGGCAGAAGAGTAATTGAAATACCATTTCTGGCAGACAAACTTTATCAGGGATGCATTACATGCCATCAACCATTGCATCTGAAAGACATTGTTGATGAAGAACATTTTGGTTTGGGAAGCATTTTTAGGATTGTTTGCTCCTCGTGCAAAAATGTGACCCAAATTTCATCTGGAAAAAGACATATAAGTACCTATGGCATAGGAGACAAAGTCAAAAGTAAAGCATCATACACATGGGATGTCAATACAAAGCTTGCTTCAGGTATCATCATAATTCATATTTATTTACCATTCTTAGAATGATGGTTTATGATAAAGTTGATATAAATATTTTTTTGAAAGTTCAATATAATGAAATACTGCTTGTGTGTGTTATTTTCAGACTTTCAAATATTTTTTTTATACAGGAATGTTACATACTGGCTTAGGTGTATCTTCTGTGAATGCATTGCTTGCATGTTTGAATATTCCTGGTATCTCCCATAAGTCACTGAAGGCAAGAGAGAGAGAAGTTGGAAAAAAGGTTGAAGATGTTGCTATAAAGTCTTGTGAGGAGTATGCTGCCCAAGAAATGGAAATTTGTAAAGAGTATGTTTATTGGAATGCTTTTATAAAATGAAATGATAAATACTGATAACAAAAATTTCTTATTGAAATTACTAATGAAATTGATTAAAAAGTTAATTTTGCCAAATAGTTTTATAAAATTTATACTTTTTCTCTGTTTCCATGTGTATTGTAAGGGAATATGTTAATTTTTTTCAGTGAGGGAGTAGAAGTATCCTTCGATGCAGGCTGGCAGAAGCGTGGTAGTGGAAGATCATACAACAGTTTATCAGGTGAATTCAACATCCTTCTCTAAACTGTAATATATTCATTTATCTGACAGTAATATAAACTTTAAATATAGTTAAAATTAACTGAAACTTAGAGGGTGTGGGAATAAATTGTTATGATTTTTTCATCATATAAATGCCAATATGTGCAGTATGTATGGAAATACTTTATAAATTATAATAAAACAATATTTTATAGGTCATGCCTGTATGATTGGTACCAAAACAGGCAAGATTATCAGCTACGATGTTAGAAACAAGAGCTGCCGTATTTGTGAAAATGCTGCATTGTCCGAAGAACCTCCACGGCAACATGACTGCAGGAAAAATTGGGATGGTAGTGCTAAAGGTAAAAAATATTAGCAATACAGAACTTTTAATTATATGTCATATGTAACAAAAGGTAAAATGACATATACGTGATTGCACATTACTTGCTTTAAAAATAATGAGTAAATTCATATTGAAACAGGGATGGAATGTGACATGGCTGTAAGCATGCTAAAAGACCTTGAGGCCAAGAACATAAGTGTGGAGACAATTGTGATGGACGATGACACTACAACGATTGCAAGGGCAAGAAAAGAAGTGAAAGCCAGACTAAAGAAAAAGAGTGATAGTAACCACGCCAAAAAACATTTCACCAATAGATTATACGGTTTACAAATTGCCAAAAAGTACAGACAGTTGGGAACGAAGACCATAGCTCATTTAAAGAAATGTTTCAACAATATCATTGCTGTGAACAAGAACAATCCAGAAAATTTGAAGTCAAATCTAAGATCATTGACACCTCACCTTTTTGGGGACCATAGTAAGTGCAGCGAAAACTGTGGATTTGTACGGAACCCTACTACTTATATTCCAAAGAATTTACCATATAGGAAATACCTGAGTGACAATATGCTGAAAGCAGATCTTCAAGAAACAATTTCATCATTTGCAGACCAAGCAGAGAAGTTAGCCAATTTAGGTAGTTCCCAGTCAAATGAGAGCTTCAACAACACTATTGCTTCAAAAGCTCCAAAAAGAATGCACTTTTCAGGATCAGAAAGTACATCATTTAGAGTTGCTGCCGCAACTGCCCAGAAAAACTTAGGAAGTCATTACGTTTTGAAGGTGAGTTTGAAATTGATAGTAGGAATATGTCAGTATGCTTGAATACATTTGACTATATTATAAAACTACTTTTAGTTGATATTAGATTCATTCTTCTATTTATTTTGCATTGATTTTTTTTTCAAGGTAAATGAAGCACTTCTCTTGTCACCAGGAGAACATACAAAGAAACAGATTTTACAACATGACCTGAAAAGGACCAAGGATTATCAACGAAAGTCAACCACATCATTCAAGAAGAGAAGGTCAGCCCTAAAGTCCAAAAAACAAGCAGCACTAGAGAGCAAAGAGCTGAGGGAGGGTACCACATATGAGTCTGGTGTGAGCTTGGCTGACACTTCCACAGCAGCTGATATTCATGAGATACCACCTCCTCTCACCTTGCCCACCATTTCAACTCTCCCAGATGAAAATTATACTTTCATCTGCTTTGATCTGGAGACTACCGGTCTTGGTATGTGTTATTGAAATATGTAGACAGTCACAAAGAAATACACTAATATTTATCTTTTTATGACAATTACTGATAATCTATTGGCAGATATATAAGCTATGTTTATAAACGTTGTGCATAAAATTATATAGGTGTATATTTCAATGCAGTAATTTTTTTTTTATTTTTTTATTTATACATATGATTCCATTATTTCAGGATTATCATCAATTACACAAATTGCCGCTAGTTGTGGAGACAAAAAATTCAACCAGTATGTGTTGCCAGATCAAGAGATAAGCCAATCTGCTTCAGCGACAACTGGGATATCTTTTGATGGTGTTGCTCTTTACAAGGAAGGGGAGGTACTTGATGCTCTACCACTACCTGAAGCACTTGCCAGATTTTCCACATGGCTACAAGAGTACAACAACCCAGTACTGGTGTCCCACAATGCCAAGTCCTTTGACTCTGTTGTTTTTATTAACAATGTATCTAAAACCTGTATAAATTTTGATCATATAACTGGATTTGTTGACAGTTTACCACTTTTTAAAGACTTATTACCAGGCAAGAAAAGCTATTCCCAATCATCACTGGTACATGATGCAGGGCTGTCTTATGATGCTCACAATGCTTTAGATGATGCAGCTACCTTGGAGAGAATTTTGAAGTTTCATTGTGTTTCAGAGTCTACCATGTTGAAATACAGTTTTCCATTGTCCTATGTTTACAATGCTTTGCAGTACAGAAAATTGAAAATTGTAAATATGAACTCTCTTGCACATCTAGTTACATCAAAAGTATTGTCTAAATTCATGGCCGAGAAAATTGCTGCTTCTGGTCTTTGTTATCAGCATCTGAAAATGTCATTTGAAAGAAATGGATATGAGGGTATTGAAGCTTTATTCAAAGAGCCAATTAATGGTAAACCAAGGGTCACAAGGTGTAAAAAGATCATTTCAGCTGTTTTTGAACATTTTTCTTAGACTGCTAAGGGAGATAACTTGTAGTAGACTAATTATTTTGTTGAAAAAATCAGTTTTTAATTTTTTTTCTCAAAATGTACCACAAGAAAATTTTTTTTATGCTTAATTATTATAATACATATATTGATAAATTATATATTATAAGTTGAACAAGATCTTGTGGCTAATTTTTTTTTTTGTTTACATTTTTGTATTATGTGACACATATATTTTCAGTAAATTGTCATATTATTATTTCAGATTTTTAATTTGTTAAGTTATTGTTACTGTATTTATTTATTCTAATGTTATTGTTATGTTTTTTGTCTTTATTTGTTATCAATTTTTTTCCCTTATTTTTTCCATTTTGACATTATGTGCAATATAATAAGAGGCAATAAATACTAAATTAAGGTTGAATGTGATGTTGTCTTTCACTCTAAAATGTGGAGAAGGATTATATTAAACATAACTGCAAATTTGGTGAATTTTGGGACAATTTTTTTTTGACCCCCCAGCCTCCTTAAGTCCACATTTCAGCGTTTGCAATACTAGTGAGATTGAGGATAAAATTTTTCACTGTAATCTTTTTTTTTAGCTAAGAAACACATCACATACCTTAGTAAGTATTTATACCATAACAAAACAAGAGGCCCATAGGCCACATCGCTCACCTGAGCATGGGCTAGTTAAAACACAATTCAGCTCAGTATTGAAAAGTTTACTTGTTCGGGGGGGTGAATCTTTTTTATTACTTAAGAGTGTCACTATATCAATAAAGCATACATGAATAATTTCACCATGCTTGAGAAGAAGAGTTTTCAAGATTTTTCCTATATATTTCTATGCAAAGATTTGATTGCCCATTATGGCCCCACCTTACCCCAGGGGTCAGGATATGAACAAGATTAAATTAACTCTAACTGAGGATGTTTCCTTATTAATATCCCCAATCATAGTTTTGCTGATCTTGAGAAGATTCCTATGTAAAACTTTGATCAGCCATTGTGGCCCCGCCCTACCCCCGGGGGTCATAATTTGAACAAACTTGAATCTACACTACCAAGGTTGCTTCCAAATGAGTTTCGTCTTTCCTTGCCCAGTGGTTCTGGTGAAGAAGATTTTTAAAGATTTTTTCTATATATGCCTATGTAAAACTTTTATCAGCCATTGTGGCCCCGTCCTACCTCCGGGGGTCATGATTTGAACAAACTTGAATATACACTACCTGAGGATGCTTCCACATTAGTTTCATCTTTCTTGGCCCAGTGGTTCTGGAGAAGATTTTATCTATATATTCCTATTTAAACCTTTGATCAGACATTGTGACCCCGTCCTACCTCCGGGGGTCATGATTTGAACAAACTTGAATATACACTAACTGAGGATGCTTCCACATTAGTTTCATCTTTCTTGGCCCAGTGGTTCTGGAGAAGAAGATTTATCTATATATTCCTATTTAAACATTTGATCAGCTATTGTGGCCCCGCTCAACCGCCAGGGGTCATGATTTGAACAAACGTGAATATACACTACCTGAGGATGCTTCCACATTAGTTTCATCTTTCTTGGCCCAGTGGTTCTGGAGAAGATTTTATCTATATATTCCTATTTAAACCTTTGATCAGACATTGTGACCCCGTCCTACCTCCGGGGGTCATGATTTGAACAAACTTGAATATACACTAACTGAGGATGCTTCCACATTAGTTTCATCTTTCTTGGCCCAGTGGTTCTGGAGAAGAAGATTTATCTATATATTCCTATTTAAACCTTGGATCAGCTATTGTGGCCCCGCTCAACCGCCAGGGGTCATGATTTGAACAAACGTGAATCTTCACTACCTGAGAATGCTTCCACATGAGTTTCATCTTTCCTGACCCAGTGGTTCTTGAGAAGATTTTTAAAAGATACCATCAATTTTTCATTAATTCATAATTACCTCCCCTTGGAAGAGGCCTTGGCCCTTCGTTTGAAAAAAAAACTTAAATCCCCTTCACCCAAGGACACTTTGTGCCAAGTTTAATTGAAATCGTCTTTGTGGTTCTTGAGAAGAAGATGAAAATGTGAAAAGTTTACAAGAACGACGACAGCGACGACAAACAACGGACAAATTTTGATCAGCCGAAGGCTCAAATCAGCTAAAAAAAATTAATCTTGAAATTTAAAGATATATGTTCAAATTATATTTGAACAGTGATATATCTAGAGTCTTTAAAGTTTCTAAAAAATTTATTATACCCCTGCTCCGTAGGAGAGGGGGTATTCTGTTTTACCCTTGTGTGTCTGTCTGTGTGTCCGTCCTAACAAATTTTCGACGCAGTTTTCTAAGCAACTACTCATAACAGATGCTTGAAAGTTTAATACAATCTTCTCTGAAGCATGCAATATGGTGGGATACCTTTTTTCAAATCCGATGTCAACTTTCTGTTAATCCGGGCGTGTCTTCTTGCATACAAATTTTCGTCGCAGTTTTCTCAGCAACTACTCGTCGCAGACACAGTTGCTTGAAATTTTAACACAATCTTCTCTGGGGTTTGTCAAATGATGTAATACATTTCTTTTCAAATCCGACGTCAACTTCCTGTTTATCCGTGCGTCAGTCCGTTTCATTACATAAATTTTCGTTGCAGTTTCCTCAACAACTACTTATTGCAAATGCTTAAAATTTTAAAACAATTTTTTTCCGAGGCATACCATATGGTGGAATTCATTTTTGCTCAAATTTGATGTCGACTTCCTGTGTATCTGTGCGTTTGTCCGTTTCATACATAGCACGTGGCGCAGTTTTCTCAGCAACTGCTCATTGCAGATGCTTAAAATTCTGGCACAAACGTTGTTTAGGCATGCCATATGGTTTGATTAACTTTTATACAAACTTGATGTCAACTTCCTATTTATCTGTGCATCTGCCCGTAACTAAACTTGTGCATATTAACATGATAGTGTATATTCATATCAGAGCGGGGGTATTACTAGAGAGCATTGAGCTTACAGGCTTCTTGTTATAGACTGTTCGGAACATAGAAGTCCATTACTTGGCACTTAAGCAATCAAACATGTAAAGGATCCCTTAGAAACAAGTGAGAAAAAGTTAAAGAGATAGTGTATCTTTATTATATGATGACTATCTACAGCTCCACACACACACACACACCCTCACACACACACCTTGAGTTTTGGTAAAGAGCTTTGTAACTAATCGTCCAATCGTGAAGGTCGTATTGATTTTGGTATTTTGATCTTACCCCATAGGTCCTAAAAGGGATAGGGGGCATTCACAATAGATGTCAAAATTTGTTGATATTGGTTCAGCGGTTCAGCAGAAGAGATTGAATATATTCAAATGTTCAAAGGCAATGCATGAGAACAGACGCAAACAGAAATGTAGAGTAAATCGATGACTTGAAAATAAATAATAGCGAGAAAATTGGGGACCGACACTTGTAGTCAATTTATCTTACTATGCGTTAAACAAGAGGCCCAGGGGCCACAGCGCTCACCTGAGCACATCAGGCTTGAATTTACTCCACCCCCCCCCCCTCCAGGCATTCATCATTTGAACAAACTAAAATCTACACTACCTGAGGATGATTCCATATAAATATCACTAATCATAGCTTTGAAGTACTTGAAAAGAAGATTTTAAAAGGTTTCCCTATATATCCCTATGTAAAACTTGGGTCGGCCATTTTGGCCCCATCCTAGCCCCGGGGGTCATGATTTGAACAAACTTGAATCTACACTACCTGAGGATGATTCCACATGAGTTTCATCTTTCCTGGCCCAGTGGTTCTGGAGAAGAGGATTTTTAAAGATTTTTCCTATATATTCCTAAGTAAAACTTGGGTCGGCCATTTTGGCCCCACCTTTGCCCCGGGGGTCATGATTTGAACAAACTTGAATCTACACTACCTGAGGATGATTCCACATGAGTTTCATCTTTCCTGGCTCAGTGGTTCTGGAGAAGATTTTTAAAGATTTTTCCTATATATTCCTATGTAAAACTTGGGTCGGCCATTTTGGCCCCACCCTTGCCCCGGGGGTCATGATTTGAACAAACTTGAATCTACACTACCTGAGGATGCTTCCACATGATTTCATCTTTCCTGGCCCAGTGGTACTGGAGAAGAAGATTTTTAAAGATTTTTCCTATATATTCCTATGTAAAACTTGGGTCGGCCATTTTGGCCCCACCCTACCCCCGGGGGTCATGATTTGAAAAAACTTGAATCTACACTACCTGAGGATGCTTCCACATAAGTTTCATCTTTCCTGGCCCAGCGGTTCTGGAGAAGAAGATTTTTAAAAATGCCATTAATTTTTAACAAATTCATGATTATCTCCCCTTGGAAAAGGGCGTGGCCCTTCATTTGAACAAACTTGAATCCCCTTCACCCAAGGACACTTTGTGCCAAGTTTGGTTGAAATTGGTCCAGTGGTTCTTGAGAAGAAGTTGAAAATGTGAAAAGTTTACAACGACGACGACGACAACAACAACAACGACAACGACAGACGACGGACAAATTTTGATCAGAAAAGCTCACTTGAGCCTTTGGCTCAGGTGAGCTAATAATATATGTTAAGAAATAATTCACATAAAAGTAAATTTCTAACATTTATGCACATACCATAGAAACCCAAATCATTCATTATGCATGGCCGCCCTCGTGGCGCATTGGTTGGAGGTCTGTTCTAGAGTTGCGTAGTAAGGAAGTGATCCTTACGTCGAGGGTTCGAATAAATGTTCGAAGTTGAGACAAGTCCTTCGGATGAGTCCATATAACCCGAAGGTTCGTTTCGCATTAGGTGCTGGCACGATAAAGATCCATCGCTGCTCAAAGTAGGACAATGTTTGAAGCTCTTTACTAACGAATAATGGCGTATCCACCCCAGTCGTGTGTTGGATTTGACAGGAAATTTGAACTACATGTGTATTAATAAGTATTTGACAACGTTAATTCCACTGTTCTTCCATTAAGATTGGTTGTACATGTATATTGTTTAACGTCTTTTCCGAGAAGTTTTCACTCATATGGTGACGCTACCGCTTGCCGGTGGAGAGCTGCGAATTGTTCTACACTCGGCACTCTGGGCCATTGAGCAGGGAGGGATCTTTTTCGTGCCAGCACCTCCTGCGACACAGGACCTCGGTTCATACGGTCTCATCCGAAGGACCGGTCTCCACATCCCACAGTGGGATTTGATCCCGCGACGTTAGGTTTACTTTTTACCTCGCGACTCGAGAGCAGACGCTCCTCCACGCGGGCGACATTTCGCTGGAAAGCATAAGCTTAAGGATGAAAGTATTTATTGACTTGGAGTATGTGCATGGTTGAATTTAATTCCGATGATCGTAGCGAAATTCACAAACAGAGAACCGTGTATTAATGGACATGAATCAGGAAAAATTTTCAATTCATCTTATATATTATTCATGGTAGGGAATTTACGTCATAGAATGGGATAAA